GATGGTTTGATTTTTGCACAAATGTTGCTTTTTGGGGTCTCCTGTCTTACTAAGGAACACATTCTTCGTGGGTGTGACTGTTTAATTCATAGGTCAGTTCATTAGTTAGTGGAGCGGTGGCCTGTGTGTCTCTGGTCAGAAGGTTTGGTCATGGTAGCTGGGCACCGTGGTCTCAGGCTGTGGTTCATATAGGTCTTCAATTCTTGGGACTAATTGTTTTCTCTAATCTTTGGTTCTCTTCACTTTCCTTTTTTTCTGGGTGAAAAAAGACCAATCGTTCTATTTTAGACAGTAGCTCCTAAGCTTTTAAGACAATAGACACTATTCATCTACCGAAGAGTTAAAGCATTGTCTCTCTATTGTGTCAATTGTCTCCTTAAATGATTAGCCTTTGGGCTTGGTAAGTCAATCCTTTGAGTTGTTTGGTTATGCCTGAGAAACTTCGATAGTGGTGCCTGCATATGCTCTACTACATATGTGAAATGTACACACAGCACTACAACATGTATGTATTTGTCGGCAGTTCGAAACCATCAGCAGGCTGCATGGGGAGAAAGACTGGGCTTTCTACTCCTGTGAACAGTTACAGTCTCGGAAACCCCCAGCGGGGGTCGCTGTGAGTCCTCCTTGACTCAGCGACCCTCAGTTTGGCTTGGCGTTCTGTACAGGCACATGGGTATTGCCCTGTCCACATTCTGACACCTATTTAGCATTGATACCCACTCACAAATTACTGTTATTATTGTTGTAGGGCTGTATATTTTATAGTGTTTCCCATAAAACCAAAACCACCTCACTGCCATTGAGACGGTGCCTCCTCATAGCAACCCTATAGGACCAAGTAGAACTGTCCCTGTGAGTCTTTACGGGAGTAGAAGAGTCACGTCCTTCTCTCAAGGAGCGCCCGGTGGTTTCGAACTTCAGACCTAGAGGCTAGCAGCCTAATGCGTAACCACCGTGCCGCCAGAACTCTGGTAGTATTTACCACAGAGATCCTGTTTTTGGGTGCATCTCTCGATGCTTCCTTTTCTCTTGGGCACATTGTGGTGACTCTTTCCAAAATTAACATGTCTGCTGTCCCGTTAGTGATTTCCCCTCCCCTTTCATCCCTTGTAACCACCCAAAGGTGTTTCTTTCTGTGGGTAACCGCCTCTTAACTGTTTGTCATAGTGTTCTCATTTTATATCTGTCCTTCCATGTTCGACTCGGCATGAATCCTCCAGATTTTTCCATTTCGTGAGATGCTTTACAGATTCAACAGTAGTCTTGTCATGGCACAGTTCCCATTACATCTATGCACCGCAGTCACGCATCCATTCATCTGTTGTCGAACACTTAGGGAGTTTCCATGCGTTTGGTATTGTGAGCAATGTTGCAATGACTGTGGAGGTGTGTGTGTGTTGATTCACGTCCCAGGTTTTATTTGTCTAGGCCAGATACCTAGGAGCGAGATTGTGAGATCACATGGCAGTTTGTTTGTTTTTCTTTAGGTTTTTAAGAAAGCACCATAACTTTCCCATAGTGATTGTACCATCTTGTACTTTTATTAGTAATGTACAAGAGTTACAACCTCCCTTCTGCCTTGCCAATATTAGTTGTTCTCTGTTTTTTAATCTGTGCCAATATTTTGATTAATTATGATATTTCCTTATAACATATATTTTCATCTCTATAGGCTAGCTGTGTGCCAGAA